CAGTGGGGAAGAATCTATTCTGGAGACTGCTTCTTGCTGGTGTTTTGTGAGTGAGCCCAGGATAGAGGTAAGCCTTCTATTTATTCTCTTTTGTTATCATAGTCTGCTTTGTCAAACACTCTTGTTTATTTCATAATTGTAACATCTTAATATTCATTGATTATACAACCATGGAAGGAGAGGTAGCCCTGAATTTATTACAGTGCTTCTTTCAGAAGCGAGGGGTGGATGCCGGTACTGTTAAGCAAGTGCTGGGATTACTAGCCTTTGGTGAGGCAGAGGACTTGTTCGTATATTCAGGGACATTCTTTGAGGAAGAAGAGTAGAGCAAGTTTGGTGATAAGAAGCATAAATTAGAACAGCAGGTAGCTGTTTTGTTCCAGCTAGCGGGATCATCTGAAGATGCTGGTTGGCTCAAGCTAGGGGGGTTTGATTATGTCCCCGTACCTTCCTTACAAGTGCAGATGGCTATTACTTAAGACAGAATGGCTGCTAAGCCTTTGCCTGTATGGCACCAAATAATGGAAGGACTTAAAGGAATTCGACAAAGAAGAATTTCTTCGGATTATTTCCCCCTCGCCAGAAGAGAGATCGCAACCCCCCCCCCCCCCACCCCAGCGGCTGTTGCTGTTGCCCTCGGTTCCACCCCAGCCGCTCATCCCGTCGCTGCTGCCTTCTGCTCTGCTCCTGCTGCTCATCCCGCTCCCGCCGTCGGCTCCGCCTATGATGCTCACCGCACTCGCCCTCCGCTCCACCACCGACGTTCGCCGCGCTGCCCCTGCCCTCCGCCCTGTCCATGTCACCTGCTGTTGTGTCTCTGCAGACTGCAGATAGCGTGTCACTTGGTGGAAAACAATAACGGACCTGCATATACTTCCAAGGCTACACTAACTTTCTTCCAAGGATGGGGGAGATGGGACATGAATGTGAAGACTTTGATGGAATGTGTTGTTTCAACCTTTCAGATACAGTGGTTAAAGCAACACACTCAGTCAATTCTTGTGAATGAGAACCCATTTGATAAGTAGCTGAGTTCATTGTTCGGTGGCATTTCACCCTGGCTATTAGCACTAACTAAAGAAGGTTTATGCTGGTTAGCAATAATTCTGTTGATACTTACTGTACTTTGCACTGCCTATGGTTGCATTCTAAGTGAGGTGGAACAGTTTACCCACAGTGTCTTGCTCATACAAAAAGAAAAAGGGGGAATTATTGACAGCTCTGCTGTTCCTCAGCAGAAAATGATTTAAAAAAAAAAAAAAAAAACACATGATTCCTGACAACTAGACAACCACAGCGAAGAAAAATAGGAAAACAGCACAAGAGTCTAAACAGTCCCAGGCTTGGAGAGAAAAGAGCCACCTCGTACACACTGTGATCCATATCCCAGCTCTATGCCATTGCTGCACAGCGTGGTGCAGTTCAAAGCTATGGCATGACATGTTTGGTCCTGGCCGTCCCTGCAGGTGGGCCTAGCAGTACTGGGGAGTAGCCAGGCTCTCCAGCAAGTCCTTCTTGTCAGTGGGGGCACACAGCCTGCCTTGATACCCCGAAGTCTGTAGCCAGCCTTGCAGCTGGAAAAGGAGGGGAGGAATGTGGGTGGGGCATGCAGCAAGGATCAGAAAGGCAGAGTGTGTAGGGAAATAATTTATTGGTTAATGGTAGAAGAAGAGGTAGGCCTTTGGCATGCATACCTTCCTTCAGGCTTGCAGTTCACCATGAATTCCAATGAAACAAGAGTCAAAGCAGCACACTGATAACCTCACTGAAAGTAGCATCAATTACCTGGAGCTCTCTGGAGCCAGGCTAACATTATGTATTAATATCCAATTTTTTTTTTTTTTTTTTCCTTTTTCTGTTGCATATATGTCAGTTGAGGCAAACACTCACTGGCTTTCTCAGACTATCATTAATTCTGTATCAAGCCTAACCACTGTTTCCTGAGGCAGGAGATGTGCTCAATCAGAGAAGCAAGGAAAATGAGGGCAAGCACTATACATTGTTGTTCATTAATATTCATGATTTTGATTTTAAATATCTCTTTGATGACCAGCCCAGAGTAAAGGTACACAGACCATTAACTCCCTGTGTCTGTCTACCACTGTAGATGTAGATGAGCTGTTAGGGCAAGAGCTGGTTGCACCTCGATGCCTTCTGTAGCTGAATGAATGCCTGTTGTGGGCATGTCCCATTGCCACAGCTTGAGCTGCCTGCCTGGCATGCCGTGTGCCACCTTGTGTCAGACCTAGGTGTTGCGTTCCCCAGTTCAGCTGTTGCAAAGGTGTAGCAGTATCACAGCAAATAGTGTGAGCCAGCAGCCCATGGTGCAGTGCAAGCATCACTCTGCAGGAATGCTCATTGCATCCTGCAATCATCCTGCAGCATTGCCAAAAAAAGAAGTTTGAAGACTTTTGTTTTTTAAAACCATTACATGCACATGCATCTGTACGTTCTTATCTTCTTCTCCTACCTGTTAAGATGACTGCCTGTGCCACTGCCTCCCTTTGCTTTACAGTCATAAAGCTGTAGATCTTGTTCTGATTTGTGTGCAGATTTTGTCAGCCCCATGATTTCTATCTGACTGGCACATCGGGCAACATCCTCCAATATCCTGAAGCAATGACCAGCTAGCAAAGAATTACTGAGCTTGTTTGTGAGTCATATTTCTAGAAGACAGCAAGAAAGCTGCATAGGAGAGGCTGGGAGCCAGGGACAGGAGGGATGTGAAGAGCTACACCACAGTTACCAGCTCATGTTTTCCAAGGAGTGGGATTCAGGGGTATTTTATCCTGATTGCATTAACATGGTTGTAAATTGACAGCGTGTCTAATTCCAGTGTTTTTTTCCCCAACAGATACATACTTTGAAACCAATGCTTCTCTGCTTTTCCATGAGAGATATTAGCCATAGCTCAGTATAAACTCCTAGAAAAGTACCGTTCTATTTCAGTAAGGTTTCCATTGTTCCTACGAGATTCCCCAAATCCAGCAATTTGTATCAGTACAGCTCTTCTAGCAGCAGAGGAGTACAGCAGTCATCCTTGCCTTCACAAAGATCAGGGGGGCAGGTAGCACCAGGAGAAGACACACAGTGCACTCCTGCCTATGCCGGGGGATGACTCCTACCCTTCCTGTTTTGTTAGGCAATATGGTGTCTTTAAAGGAAATAAAAAAATGGTACAGAAATTTGGTACCAGATGGCAGTGGTGTGACAGGAGCCTCCTGCCCTACTTTGCAGTGGGGTATCTTCTATATTTCTGCACGTTCCAAAGGAACAATTTTATTTTATTTTTTTCTCTTGCAGATGTTTTACTGATGCTGTCATTGATTTGTACTTTTTTTTAAAATCTTCCCCAGAATCATGTAGCAATATAGGCAATAGGTACTATTTTTAAACTCCTTAGCCAACATGACTTCCTTTCCATCTGTCTGCTCTGTAGCTACTGGAAGGAGCAAGCGTGGCATTCCGCATCTTTCTGTGGTTTCTGCTCATAAGGAGTAGGCAGGACAAGCCAGGGATTCTTGCTGGAGCTGAAGCGCTGCATAAGTTAGATTACAGGATGAAATACAGATTGAATCATGTCTCAGAAATTCACTTTCCAGTGTCACGCTGTAGCCAGATAATGCAAACCAGAACTCACAGAACTCTGAGTACACAGGCATTAGTACAAAGCTCTCAGCTTGTTCCCTATGTTCACACAGCTTTTTTTTTTTTTTTGTGCCAGCTATATTAAAGCAAACAAACAAACCCTAAAAAACAACAACTAAAAAAGCTAGTATTCCAACACATTCCTGTATGCATTGGCCTACTTTATGTAGGCTATTTCTTGTGTGATTTAATTACAAGGGAACTGAGGCCTTAACGAAGAAATATAATGAAGGTTTGCTTGGGTTTTGAGGACAAGCTTTGTCGTCCTCTGCAAAATACGAATGTCCTAAGCTGTTTGAAAGTGCAGCAAGGAGGAATGGAGGCACCCACCACCACACAAAGCCTGGAAACTGATATATCTGTCAGACTGCTGCTGCCTGCATCTACTGCCCAAGTGCTGACCTGTCTGGGTGTCAGCAACCTGCAGAGCCAGTGGATCCAGTATGGCTTTCTGCTTGATGGCAGGTGTTTGCTGCCCATCATTTGTTAAGCCTTTGTAAAGGGTAGGGATGGGGCTGTAAAAGTACTGAAGAACCTCAAGCCCATGTTTTGTATTGCACTATAAAACACACTAGCTGCGCTCCCCCAAAACCAGGAAGGTATCCATCCTGGAAAGAGCAAGAGACTGCAGGAAAAGGCACTTGACAAGCTGTGTCCAGGCAAAGGGCACTGTCAGGCAGTCCTGCCGATTCAGCCATGTTTTCACCAGTGCAGCTGAAAGTCAGTGAGATGAATAGAGTCACACCAGGAACCAATAACACTGTGTCAGGAACAATAATCATAGCTCTGAAGTATTGAATATTGTTGCAATTACCTGCTGACTGCATTAAAATAAGGAATGTTATGCCACTGGAAGCAGAGCAGGGTGAGAATGTCCTGCCTTTGTTTCATCAGCTGTATTAGCTTTTCCTTTGTGGACAATGCCCTGTTACCAGTTAATTTACATGTACTTCGCTTAAACTGTTGTAGAGGACATGATGTCCTAAGCCAACATAACTGAGGACAGAAATTCGTGTATTTTATCGGAGTTATAAAAAGTAAGAGGAAGAGTTGGCATAAGGCCTTAATTTTTTCCTTGTATTTCAGTGCTCTTCTATCCATTTTACTGCATGCACTTCCACTATTGCCACATAGGAAAGAACAACAAAAAAAAGCAGTCTTGAATCTGAGTTTCACAGAACTTATTGCCTATTTAAAGTTTCAGTGATCAGTTCTTGTTCTGCGAGAAAAAAAAAGTAACTTATAAACACTTAGGGAAAACACCTTGGCTTTCCATTGGATGCCACTTCTACCCTCTTCCTGGTCTCCCATCCCCTAGTACCTTGAGGAGAGCATGAGCACAAAGCAGGAGATGACAGTCATAAGTCTTTATTCACTTTCCTGTTGATACAGACCCTTTCCAGCTGCCAGCAGCTTGAAGTAGGGGAAATAGCAATGAATGACCATGCCAAGTGCAGTGAATGGGTGAGGAGGTTTAACCCCAGGGAAGAGGAGTGGCGAAAAGTAATGACTAGCGTTACTGGGGCTCCTACTCTCCCCAGGGGATGGCCTATATCACATCCTATGCACTGTAAGAGTGCTTTTAAGGCTGTGGTCAGGCACTGCTGGTCATGCTGTATGCACCCCAGCCATTCCCATCCTATCATATTGCAGATTGGCAGTACACACAGGAGGTCAGTTTCGTGAGATTTTATTTGCCTCTTCTGCCACGTATTCCTAGAGGAAGAAGATCCTTGCTTCCCAAAGTAGCTTCAGTCCTAGTGTGTCTTATCATAAGTGCCAGCTCCCTTGTAGGCACCAACATAGCCACTGTTGTCTGTCAAGTCTTCACGGCCAGCAAGTCCTTTCCCCTTGCCACTCTCATCAAAGCGCTCTTTGTGACTGCCAGTGTATTTGCTAGTGTCCGTCAGCCTCTCGATCCCAGCTACTTTTGCGACTCTCTGCATGAAAGGAGACCAGAATTAGGAACAAGCTCAGACAGGCTCGCCAGTGTTAGCAAGTATAACCCTTGGGATGCAGGGGCCCATGGCAACTCCAGGTGGACAGTGGACAAAGACTTCTACTCACGGTGGTGCCCACGCTGCTTGGCTCCTTCCCCTCAATGAGGCCATACACAGCTTGCAGGGCTTCCTCTGGTGATTTGTCCTTGAAACGTTTAACACAGATCTCCTTCATGGCCTGCTGGAACTCAGCAAAATTGATGGTGCGGGCACCCTTGGTCCTATGGCCAGAAAAAAGAAGATGAAGGTTACTAAAAGGAAAGTTACCAGGAGGAAAGCTGTGTGGCAGTAGGAAGGAAAGACTCCATGGGTGCCCCTTGAGTGAGTGCCTGCCTGCTCCTTTGCCTACAGCATCTCACTGCCTCACTTACTTGACTTTGTTGAATACAATGTCAATGTCAGTGCTGGTCACAGCTTTTCCATCCATCACCCCACACTCTTTGCACATCTTGGAGAAGTTTTTCCCTGTCATGCTGTTGCTGCTGGCAGCTCTGTCACCATATATTGCAAATTTACGGAAAGATTCTTCTAGCCCAGACATCTTGCTACTGTGGAGAGAACAAATTGGCAGGGAAGGAGCTGCTAGACTGACCTGCAGCTGGACTCCTTCAGAACAAGTGAAGTCACCAATGGGCATTGTCCATTGGTTGCCACTGTGCTGCCAAGGCAACCAACTAGGCACCAACACAGAACAGGTAGGATCCGGGTGGGAGAGGGCTTGGTCTGGAACCCAAGTGTCTGTCAACGGTTTACAGGCTGGTTCGGCCCGGTTCCGTGACGAGCGGGGTGGAGGGATCCGCAGATCCGTGCCTCCAGAAAAAAAAAGAAAACAGAGGACCCCAAAATAATTAAAACAGCGGCACCGACCTGAGGAGAAACAAACTAATTTACTAAGTATATTATCGGAATGCAAGATAACACACTATAATATAATATAATCAGAATTGAAGCTAATAAATCAAATATAATGAGAGAGAGAATGTCCAAAAGGTGGATAGGCCTCACCACAATGCTGAGGTGAGATGTGCAGTCCACCTGAGCAGCAGGGAGATGGGAGCAGCGCCCACGATGAAGAGCAGGCGAGAAAAAGAGATCAGGCGACCTTGCCAGGAGTTAAACCTCCTCTCCCTGACCGCAAGGTCCCCTGGGGAATGTAGTTCTTCTTCTCTTCAGGGCAGGTACCCAGGACTTGAGCACTGACAGTTAAAGTCCCAGTGCCCCACATGATGTTATGATGTAGAATACCGAAAGTCAAAAATCACAAAACCATGACATTGTCTTGGCAGGGAATCGAACGCAGGCCTCCCATGTGGCAGGCGAGAATTCTACCACTGAACCACCGATGTACCAAAAATCTGTCATGGAGTTGACTAGATCAATCTATGTCCGTGACAGAGGCAACAGGCCTCTGCCCTTCCCCCCCATCCCAGTCCCACAAAAAATGGGAAAGAAGGAAGGGAGGAAAAGAACAGCAGTAGCAATTTATGCAGGAAAACTTATTTTACTATAATATCGGAATACAAGATAACACAATATATACAATTTAATTGAAATTGAGATGAATAAATCAGACAAGATGAGAGAGAGAGTTCCCGGGACCGATTCAAACCTGAAAAGCTTGGAACGGCTAGGAAAGCACCTCCAGCACCCACTGCAAAGCAGCAAGAGAGCGTCCCCCCCCACCCGGAAGGGCCGGATCCTGTGACTGCTGTAATGTACAGGGATAGGTACCTGGGATTGGGGCAGTGGCACTTTAATGCCCCGTACACTACATGATGTTTTGATGTGGAATACTGAAACCCAAAAACAAAAAAACATAGAACCATGACACCAAGGGGTGCAAAAGAAGGGTGAAAGTAAGGCTTTGGGCTGTGATGGCCTTCTTGCTCTCAATGCCTGAGACCTGTCAGTCATTTTGATCTCCATCAATGGGACTTCACCTTCACTAAATCAGATGCGCTCCAGCACACACTGGCTGGATATTCTGGCCAGATTACAACTCATTTCCCATCCCACAGACTCCTGTAAACCCTGCATTCATTCCCTCTGATCCCCACTTCTAAGTTAGCACCTACCCCCCTGCCTTCAGCCTTAACAGTTTTTACAGACGGCTCAGGTTGCACGGGCTGTGCAGTATTGGTATGGCAGGGGGAGAATGGGCGCTGAGAGGATGATGTTTTCATTACAGAGGGATCAGCTCAGATTGTCGAGTTAACCGCGGTCATGCGGGTTTTTGAAACTTTTTTGCAACCCATTAATATTGTTACTGACTCTGCTTATGTTGCAGGTATAGTGATGCATATAGAAGGGGCTTACCTGAAGGAAGTCTCTAACCCTTGCTTGTTCGCACTATTACTGCATTTACAAGTAGCAATTGGCAAACATACACACCTTTATTTCATTCAGCACATCCGATCCCAGACTTCATGTTTGTTGATGCTCGGCTGAACATGAGCCAACAGTGTGCCCAGGTGGCCAACAGGGCCAACGGCATCCTGGCCTGCATTAGAAATAGCATGACCTGCAGGAACAGGGAGTACTCACTACTCCTTGTACTCAGCTCTGGTGAGGCATCACCTCAAGTATTGTGTTCAGTTTTGGGCCCTTCACTACAGGAAAGACATTGAGGCCCTGGAACATGTCCAGAGAAGGGCAACAAAACTGGTGAGGGGTCTGGAGCACAAATCTTATGAGGAGCGGCTGAGGGAGCTGGGATTGTTCAGTCTGGAGAAGAGGAGGCTCAGGGGAGACCTCATTGCACTCTACAACTTCCTGAAGGGAGGTTGTGGTGAAGAGGGATTTGGCCTCTGCTCCCAGGCAATGAACAGGACCCGAGGAAATGATCACAAGCTGTGTGAGGGGAGATCTTGATTAGACATAAGGAAAAGCTTTTTCTCTCAGAGAGTGGCCAGGCACTGGAATGGCCTGCCAAGGGACATCGTAAAGTCGCTGTCCCTGGCAGTGTTCAGCAGGTGTCTAGATGAGGTGATACAAGATATGGTTCATAATGGTGATAGGAAGATAGTTGATGATCTTGTATGTCCGTTCCAACCTTGTGATTCTATGATTCTTTGATACTATGAAATTCTAATTACTGAATGAGACATTCTAAATCTGTCAAAACGAGCTGCTTGTATTACATCTAGACCCTGAAAACCTCAAAAGATGGAGGATGAAGGTAGATCAGAATTCGCATGCAGAGATGTACCCATTCTACAAGCCCTCTGTGCATGATTTGAGATCATGTGTTTCTGCAGTAAAATTGTCTCTTTCCTAATCGCTGAATAGATGAAGAACAAAGTTTTCCTTAAAACAAGAGTCCACTGTGAAAGTGTAATGCATAGTTCAAGTTTGAAAGGCAATGATTTTAGCTGTCTTGCTGAACAAATACAATGTCTGATGCAGATGTGTGGAGAAAAAAAAGAACAGAGGAATGTGCTGATGCCTAGGCTTGAAAGAGAAGTTATACAGAACAGTCAAAAGAACAAGAACTCTGCACTGAAAAAAAAACGAAACCACTTTTCAGAAATTAAATAGAACTGAAGAGACCAAACTTGCTGCTTTCTGTGTATAAATAGTTTATGGGGTTTCTTTTCAGTATCTTGACCTTTTGTGCATTTTAGTAATTTGTCAGGCACATACACAGACAACAAGAAAACCTCTTTTGGATACATAAATAAAACTTTTGTTCAAGGCAGTAAAATAGAACAAGTTCAATAAACACTAACTGTAGTTTTATAAATACTCTTGTACTGAGAATTTTCAGCCTGGGTAAATCCCATGCAGTCTCTCTTTCTAATCTCTCTAAGCGGAAAACCTGTGTCATTTTGTAGTGAAGTGACTTTGCCTATTTGCCTCGATCTATCTCATGTGAGCCAGAGGGCCTGGTTCTTTACTTGAGAGCTAACATCAAAAACTCTTTTTCTCCATTCTTCTAGGGCCTCTGGTGATCTGAAGACATAGTTTTCTTGATTTCCAGGCCTATGGAAGTCTATCATACTTTTTTCCAATTCTCTTTTCTTCCACTTTTGCTTCACAGTGCTGCTCCTAGAAAATGGAAAAACCTGCTGTGATCAGTGATTCTTCTAAAACAAGCAAACTTCTAACATACCACAAGACATTGTTTTAGGCTTACAGAAATTGAGAAGCAGGAGAGAGGGAATACTCATTTTCTAGATTTACAGCTAGTAAAATGACTAATAATTAACTTTAAGAAATAGTGGTATTTTCCAGACCGCTTAGGAAAAGCTGAGAGTCTACAGTTCTCAAGCAGTGCAAGTCAGTGGAGACAGACGCCTGAGGCAGCATGTATGACTGCAGTACATTTGAACTTTCCAAGGGAGGGAAATCCACTGCCTGCAAAGCAAGCATCACTGGCCTTGTCAGAAGCAGCAATCCAGGGCACAGAGAGATGCTGCCATCATTTCACTGATGCCAGTACCCAGTTTTTGCCTCTTTGAATGTGTTGCCTTGCAGTTTCACAGCTCACTTTGGCAGTACTTGATCCATAAAACCAGAAAGAAAGACAAGGGAGCAGAACCAGTTTTCAGTTAAGTCTGAAATTCACAGAATAAAAGGAAAAGCCTTTTCTGGCTAAGAACATTCTGCTTTCAGAAGCAGCAGTCTTGCATGATTTCACTGCTTGAGCCATGTGGTATCATTCTGAGCAATTTGAGATGATCTGTGGCATGATTATTACCCTGGGAAAAAAGACAAAAAAGTATACAGTGGTTAACAGCTGTTACTGGCTGAATATTCTGCAGATGTGCCATCCTGCTCCCATCCAGGTTGAGAGGGCCACAGTGTGTTTGGCAGTTTTGGAAAGGCCAGCAGCAGCTTCCACTCTGGGATTTTGCTCTCCCACATTTTGATGCACAGTCCCCACTTCCTTTTTGCTTCTTTTCATGTACCAGACTTTCAGCAGGTATAAATTAGTCTCCCCTGACACTTGTCAGTCACCACCAGCTGAGGGTTTGGCTATAGGTGCTTATTTTCCTGAAGGCATAGCAACTGTCCCAAAATCTGTCAGGAACCTTGAGCTGTGCTCTTTCCCTGATCCCTCCTGGCAACAGACCTAGGTACAAGGATCCAGCTTAGAAAATATGAAACCATTGTTAAAGGCCTAACTTCAGAAAGGAGGACAGAACTCTCCAGCACTTTCCCTTTCTCACACTGTCTCCTTGAAAGGATGATGCCTGCTGAACATGAGCCACAGCCCTGCTGGTTGTTTCCACCAGGCCAGTGAAGTGAAACAGGCCCATAGCTGTAAGGCCAGGTTCAATGCATGGCATTTTATGCAACTATTTTTTCTGGTGGGATCAAATGGCCTGGTATCTGGGATATCTGCTGGAAGCAAGATACTTTGTGGGAGTCTACACAGTTCAGCTGGTGGCTGAAGCCACAGCCTGGAACTGCTTCTCAGGACAGAAAAAAATAAATAAATTCAGCTTGCTTCACACAGATATCAATCATACCATCAGTAACCATGTTAGGTGCATCTTGAGTAAAAATTAGGAACTGGCAGCATACCCCCATGTGCCTCTCTGCTTCCCCAAATCCTATTTTTGAATGTAAAGTCAGAGTAAACTCATGGTCCTGGCAGGATCTTGCTCCAGGCAGTTCTGGTGCCAAGTCTCCCTAGTGTTGTGCTAGCAGAAAAATACACTCTCTTGCACACATGTTGACACTCAGTCTCTGTGAGTGCAGCTGCTCAACTGCCAACTTCAAGCCCTTGTTCCTTACTGATGCCAAGATATAAATATAAGCCTTCTTGGCCCTAAGGTCTCCGTTCCGTTTTAACCCTGATGTTCTTTCCTGTAGATAATTTTTAGGGTCAATTTTGTGATATGAAATCCAGCACGTAGAGCCATCTGTTGCCTTTGTCCCATGTGCCCACACAGTTAGACTAGTACCTGTTAGCATCAAGGTGCTCCAGGCACAACCAGGGGGCTGTAAGTTAGTAGAAGGTGTTTTAGACAGAGCCCCTCTACCTGTGCAGAGTGAAAAACACTCTCTCTAATTGCCCTTCTGCTTGCAGCAAAAGCAGTTGTCATTTGTGCTTGCAGTATGATTTTTTACATTCAGAAGTAATGCTGTTTGAGACTGTATGAAGGTAGCACTGAGTCAATATTTTTCTACCCTCCTGAGGACTTCTTGCTGTATCTATGGCAAATATTCTGAACAAAATCAGGGGATTTACCTGTGTCATAGTGCTGGCAGCACCCAGTCCTGGCCTGTATTGTTGCTTATTCAAGGGCATAGTTCTACGTATGCATGACCATAGACATAAAAAAGAGAATAACCCTCAAGTTTTACTCTGAAGGACCTGTAAAATTCTTCAGGAAAAGACATTTTAAAGTCTCTGTATACAACAATGATTTTGGAGAATGAACCTTACCTTTTTCAACATGACAGGGGACCTCAGTAATCCTTTCAGCATTAAGATTCAGCAGAATCTTCACATAAGCTATGGGGTTGAGCGAAATGCATGTTTACATATTGTAAATAAAAGAAAAGTGCTCTTCCATCTTTTCCTTTGTTTATCTGCAGAGAGAGGATTGGCATAGTCTGCAAATTAGCCATATGCTTAGCAATGGAGAAGACTACCCAAAGAACCCTTTGATTAATACACTCTCTGTGATCCAGCCATACACTTAGTGGCTCAGTAAATGGCTACAAAGAAGACTCTCTGAGAGGTGTCTGAGGACCTTCACCTCAAGTGTACCATATCTTTCTTTGGTGGAACAGTGGCCTGGGATGAGTTTGTTCTTTGCCAAAATTCAATCCTAAATTGCATTCTTTCTCCAATCTACATTTTACTGGAGTGTGGTTTAACAAGGTCATGTGCTATTTCAGATATTTAACAACCAAAATCAGTCAGAAATAGACAGAAAAATCAAAACCATCTTGCTACACTCAACAACTACGTACAAGTTCTTCATAAGAAGCTCTTCCCAGTCAAGAAAATGGGAGAGCGCAGGCAGAAATTGTGAAGAACTATAAATCACAGGGAAGGGGCATGGGAAGAAGTCTGAAAGAGACTTCAAGAGGCCAGCTGTTTTTCTACTTAGGGCAAAATCACTATCTATTTCATTTCCTACAAATGTTTTTTCTGGTCTTAGGCAAGATAAGACAAACATCAAACAGTAGTAATGAAGACCCCAAAGCCTCATCATGCAATCTGTCCCTGCACTACACTGTTTTTAATGCCTTGTGTGAATTTTCTTCCTATACTTTGAAAAAGTATACAATAAAGTGAGTAGGATTCAAATTAGAGAAATTTTGTAGAAGGCTGCAGTGAGGTCTCCCCAGCCTTCCCACCTGGGAAGGGAGGGGAGGGGGGGGTTTGAAGCTTGATGATCACTGTGGTCCTTTTCAACCCAGGCCATTCTATGGTTCTATGATTCTATGAACAAGATCACAAGCACTTACTAATAAGGCAGCCAGAACAGGCAGATTTTTAGAAACTGAATGAAAAACTAATTATGCTCTAATATTAGATTAATTAAGCATAGAAAAGGAGTGTATTAAAGATGGCACTTCTGTAATTTAAGAGGGACGGTTATTACGAGTAAATACCAGGTGACATAAACTAAGTTTTGCTATACGAATGGGTATGCTAGCATTGTAGTCAGAATTTTTTTTAAAGTTAAATACTTACTTTATAAATAATAATAATAATAATATCTATAAGAAGGTTAGGTGTTTGTCATTTATTGATGTTCTACTCTTAAGATTTAAACTATGACAGCAGGTAAGCCTGCAAGCTGATACCATTATAGGAGAAAAAAAAATGTCATACCCAAAAATAAACTGCTTACAAATGAAAATCAGTCAGGTAAACTGTTTGAAGTCTTTTCTTAAAAGATAAATAACCTTTTCTTCAGATACATGCAAGGAGAGAGCAGACAGAAATATTCATGTTGGCAAGGCAATAATGAGCAGAATTTCAGCATCTGTGGATTTTTCTGAGAAAGGGCATGGAGAAACCCCAAGCAGAGAGTGCATGCACAAACAAACCTGTAAATTTCACATCTTGTAGATCCAAATTCTGTCTGTCACAAACATTTAGGCTGAGGTTGCAAGGCAGCTTGACACTGTTTGCCAAAGCCTTGTAGGAGAAATCATCTCACACCACCTAACTCCACTAACAGAGGGAAAGCTTGATGCAATGCTCCATAAAGATCTTATCTGTAGAAACACAGAAGCACATGTATAAATTTACATTCATGATCAGATCATTTATAGTACAAGGTCTGTTCTCTTGTGCAATCCTCCTAGTATTTTGCAAGAACTGATGTTTCATCTTTTGATATAATAAATGTAACATTTTTATCATCTGCACAGCATAAGTTTTTTCCTGGGCTGAAGGGAGAAAAAAACAGAGTTCTAGGCCATTTTTCAGAAGACTATGTTCCTTTGTTCACCTTCTCCATGACACGCTATTACTTTCCCCCAAAACAGAGTGAACATCCAGCACCCAACAGTCCTGGGAGACTTTCCTGAGCAATGTGCTCTACTTTATTGTTCTTCAGCCTCTCTGTGTAGCTGAAGTAGAGTGTAACTTCAGGTTTATTACTCATCTCCTATCTCTGTGTGATACAGACACTCCCAGCCAGTGTTGACAGGTACTGCCAGCTTAGAAATGATTTCTTTCTCATTCCCTGCATAATATGTTTGTGATGGCAAAAACTCTAGATATAGGTTCCATCTGGCAAAAGTTTGTAACTGCCAACATAGCTAAAAGGAATTACTTTATAAATGCAAAAATAAAAATAAAAATCCAATGTTATATTAATACTGGTCCTCTTGAAAAAGTGTACTAACACGTCCTCTCCAACATGGGCAAGATCTTATTTTCATTTTCCCTTTCTGGCTCCTATTTGTTCAATTTAGGCATCCAAGTTCACATATGACCTCAGAGGAGCATGAAGAGTCTCAGACCTTCCACTCACTACTCCACTATATGCCTCAGAGACTGGGGCAGCATGTACCCAAAAGGTTCTGCTCCTCAGCACTGCGCCATCTGAATCCATACTAGACTTGGTAGGTCAGCAGAGCAATATTCCAAATCCGCAGTGGGACCTCCCAGCATTTACAAATCCTTGGAAACCTCTGCCAGCCTCTCAGATGCTCTTAGCAGAAGGCCGATGTATCTATTGTGGTAATTTGCAAGGTTTAAACCTTGCAAATAAATAAGGAAGAAGCTACAAGATACCATGTATCTAGTTCAGGAGGGCTTCCGTGCTACATTTAGCCAGTCCTTCCTATATCAGCCTGATCTCTGGGACAAATATCATAGCACCGAGCTCTAACACAAAATCTTTCTTTACATTGCTCTTTTCATTGATAGTTTTGCATGCCTGCGCATGTGTGCTCAAGGATTATCTGCAACCCCCAGATCCAACAACTGATTCAACCAGGACATCAGCTTAGATCTGTCTGTCTGCCTTACTAATTCAATCCCATCTATCGTCAGCTCAGCACCTGGGTGGAAAGATTGTTTTTTAAGTACCAGATCTTCCCTGAAGTACCAGCTACACATTCCACCTCCCTTTGGGCTTATGTCCATGCAGCAACCTTATCCAACCCTCTGACATACTCTTGCTCCACTGCTCTCCTGCTCCCTTTCCTCAGAATAGCTGCTCACAGCCCCTGGGCATGGGTAATCCTTTGGAGGTTCAGCAAAGTGCTGGTGCTGAGCATGGACCATGCCTCCACAGCTGGAGCAACCACATTTGCTTCACTGTGTATCATCTGATAATTCAGGGAACTAAGGCAGAGAAATACGAATAAATAAATACATAAATAAAGATACCAATATCTCTATGTCATTGCTATCTCTTTCTCTATCTCCTTCTGTTTTTATCACTCTCTTTTCATATATATGTATTCCAAAAGTGGCATAAGGAGGAACCTGGCTAGAGAGGCAGGATGGGAACAGTCAGGGAAAAACAGAACCTGAAGAGAGGAGGGAATTTCTATCCTAAGTATTTTTCTGTCTTTGTATCTCTTTATTTCTAAAGATAAAAATTGTGGAAGGAATAGTAATAGACTATCCTGCTTCGTTGTGTGTCAATGTATGAACTTTATAATTAATATGTGTAGTACATATGTAAAAACAAAGTAGAGGCATATGCACATAATCTCATGAGACCCAAATCACCAACATGTTCTCAATTTATGTATTTTCTTCTGTATATCAGCACAGCTGAATTACATTGTGGACTGAATGTTTTCAGTGGAGGAAATTTTAATCCTTTTAATCTGTTAGGGAGCATAGTGAGAAAGCTTTGACTACAAATTCCTCTCATCTCAGCTTGTATTATATCTTAACTCACACTAAGCCCAGAAGAAGCTGTATTATCCTGCTATATTTGAAAACTTGGATGTATCGTAGGTGGTAATGTGTTCTTCTGTCAGAAAACAGCTTGTAAAAGCCCAGTTCTTGCTCTTCATAATGGGCACCCTTCATCTGTTTTCAGGAGTTTTAAAACTGTCCCTCAGCTTACCTGAAATACTAATGAAGCTCAGTGCAACAGACAGCATTAAATTTGCATGAAGCATAATATGAACTATGTTTACAGATGGAATACCAGACTCACAGTGAAAAGACAAAGAAAATGCTAGAAAAGCAGGGATGCTGACAGCCTTCAAAGAGGGGAGTACAGGCAGAACTGGATGTTCCACAATTACAAGTGTAGCCAAGGGAGTAAATGCAAATGCTGCACAGTCGAATATGTACAAATTAATATTTAATTTATACCACTAGCGATACTGATTAGCAGTGCCTGTAAGAACAAAATGTTTTGAAGTACACTCTTACTCAAGTAGTAGAATATCATTCTGCATACACTGCTCAATTAGTTGTTACCCTTCCAATTTGCTCAGTAGTTCAGCTTGGACTCCAGTGGCCAAGGACTAACAGTTGCTGCTCCTGAGGCTCAGAATGAACTACAGACCACCAACCACCAAACTGTCGTGACAAGTAATTTATGTTAATTCTAGGTACAGAAGTTCAGACCACAAAAGCTAAGAAACAGGCCCCACTGAAATTTGTCTCTCACAAAGACAGAAATGGAAGAAAAAGAAGACACTTTTAAAAATTTCTGTCTTTTTAATGAAAATGCAGAAAAGTGGTTTCAAATTCCATGCTGGGAGGGCATTTGATGAAGAAGGAGCTGGTTGTGATTTTGCCTGCTCAGCTACATCATCTGCATTATGCTCAGCTGCATCAGCAGCACAGCATAATGCCTGTTTCTTGCACATACATGAGCATCAGTAACACTACAGAAATATGCAGTGCATGTGGAGACACTCACACGCCCAAGTCTGATTATCTATGCTGCTTAAATACATGCACATATTCATAAAATCCCCATTTTTTCACAGTACTGTATTAAAATTAAACGTTTATCTCCCTTAAAAAGTAATTAAATTTTACTGTCTACTAATTTGCAAATCTGAACAGTAAAAGTAGAAAAATAATTAGCATGGTAAGAAATCAGTTATTTTTTCTGATAAGATCATAAATCCTTTTAATTAAAATCACAAGATCTTAATTGCTAAAGGGAATATTTAGTTTATAATAGATAACGTTTCTGAGTTTAAATTTAAGATCCAATCTAATGCTGTTATAATTGAGCAATGGCCTCCAGGGGGCAACAGTACCCAGCAAACAAAATAATGTGCGTCTTAATTCTACCGTAGGATTTTCAGGCATGAAAACTATCTTCTTCAGATACAGGAAAGGTAGGTTAACCCATATGAACTCTGACAAGTCTCCTGTGAGCACTCACAGAGGGAAACACTTGTAACCCATTTCAAAAACACACTTACTTGAAGTTATTAATCAAGGTGCAAGACTATACATTCAGGAATTGTAGCTGTGAAAACTAGAATATCATCTGTAACCAAACACCTAAAAATCTGTGATTTGCTTCCTGAGCTTTCAGAAATACCTTTGAACTGTTACTGAATTGTCTTACGTCCTGTTTTCCCCAAAAGAAATCTAATGATGTGAAAACTACTTATGAAGTTTAGTGGCCTGCCAGTGGTAAGGCTGCCACTATTTCTATCATGTTCCTAGGCTCTGCTGGTAGTAATGTTGAGTGTATATTCCCAGCAGGGAGGGGCACACAGAATACTTATATATACCTACTCACATGGCCAGGCATACATTTAGGCATGCTCAGACTCCACACTACCACAAACAACAACAGCCTCATCCAGCTCCCCACGCTGGCTGGTCAGGATGAAGATCCATAACAAGGAAAAACAAATAAAGGCACAGTATAGATCCCTTCAGTAGCTAGTTCCTGAGGCAGCCCAGTGGGGATTGGGCAGATTCTTGTTTCTTTCACCAGGCTATTGTCTGTCCCTCAAATGTTGGACTCTGTTAGACTCACACAGTTAATTACAGAGCCTAACAGTGAACATATTCATGATGGATCAACCTGAGAAATTCTATGATTCTATCATTCTATGGATGGTGAGAAGCACACTTCTCAATGCCAGGTCACCAGCATTCATCAAGTAGAAAAAATCTTATAAAGAAGTCATACAAGTGACTTAGGTACCTTTGACAATGCCATTTCCTGGAGATATTGATCATAAGGCATCACTATCAGATGGCTACTTAATGGTCTTTGTAAAATATTTTCAGCTCCACTTCAAGTAATCACTGTAATGGAAATCTGCTTTTAGTACCACAGGGAAAAAAAAAAAAAAAGCTAGGTTCTATATAATACTTACTGTGTCATTATGTTTAACAACCTGGTCAAGATCATGATACCTAACTTCATGAGAAAGGGCTGACCACGAGAGTCTAGTGTAAAATTACAAGGACACTCAGAGGACTGAAGGAAATATTAACAGGAAAGGAAAAATGCAAAGAAAGAAGAATATAGTCACATCACCAGGAGCACTTCATTAAAAATGAAAGGAAAGGAGAATTAAAGCAGGAAACCAAAGACAGAAGAGAATCATAGCAGTAAATAATTTGACATTCAAGGAGATAGAGCTCCTTTCTTCCTTCTGGACATCATTCTGAAAGTTCTGGACTGGGGCTGGTGGCAGGAGAAGGGTCAGTTTAGCATAGAATTGTGTTCAGATACTGTCTTTTGATTTTCCAAGATGCACAGCTGACACTGAGATCTGACAGGCTCACTCACTACTTAAGTGTAACACTG